TGTGTGTGTCCATATGTGCTGAGACAGGCGGGGGATGCTCCTGAGTGGGGCCCATACTTCACCTCAGCTTCGCATAGCTTTTGGAAGCTTCATAGACTGGAAAAGGTGCTGCGTTACCTTCCCGCAGCACCTGCCATGGGACCAGCTCAGCCGCTGCTTCCTCTCCCTTGTGACAGGTGCCCATGGTGGCCCAGCATGGAGTGGAGGCTGGTTGGGAGGAATACCTGCCCCTTTCTCATGGCACGGGCCAATTCTTTCTTTCCCCTGGTATGGCTAGTTCCTATGGCACCCTCCCCATTCAGGGGTGAAGTGTGGTGAGCCCTGGAAAGCGGCAGGTGAAGGTGACCCCCTTCCTCTCCCTTGCTGTCTGTTTCCAAGAGACCCTGTGCCATTATTCCTGCAAGCTTTCCTCCAAGATAGCCCGTCTGAGTGCCCCATAGCCTTGTGTTGGCTGCATGTGCCCTGTCCCACGGAACTTGTTTCTCTGTATTTCATACAGTGCTGAGCACGCAGGGGTTTAATAACCGAAATAATCATCTTAATCCTCTAGGCCCAGCCGTACAGTATAAGCAGAATTGCTTTTAGAGGGAGGGCTTTAGTGCTTCTGGAGCGCATTAGCTCACTTAGTTTTCTTAGGAAAAAATAATCATTTGGGGGAAAACCACATATACTTCTTTTCAGTGTAGATTAAATTGCCAACATGTCTTCCTAGAAAGTGGGATTTAACTGCGCCTGATAATTAGGGGCGTGCTGTAATTCTGCCAGCCTCCCGAATCGGAAGGAGACTCTCTCTCTCTCTCTCTCTCTCTCTCTGCAGTGCAGTGTTTTCATGTGTTGTGACAATAACAAGTTAATGCATAATGGTGGGGAAAGTAACTTGGAACTGTAAATGGGGAAGCGCCTGGAGTGGGAGGAGGGAGCTGGGGCTCTGGCACGAACCATGGCTGTGACACCTGGAGCCGGTCGCTTTACCTCGCTGTGCCTCAGTTGTGTACTTCACAAGAGGATTGTGAGGCTTCATGGGTTAGGCCAGCGCTTTCAAGAGTGGCCTCAGTTTCTGGGTGTTCAGTGTCCCACCCCTGGGGTGACGCCCAGAAGGGCTGAGCTTCCCTCCCCCGACATCCTGCAGAAGTCAGCGGGAGGGAGCTGCAGGTGTTCAGCACCTTCGAACACCAGCCTTGACTATAAACAGAGGCATCTGAAATTGGTGGGCATTTTTCTTTTTTATTAAGTGTTGGCCTTGCTGTTTGCGACTTGTGCTGCTATCCTCTGATGGAGGGAGCTAGGGACCTGCTCAGGGTGCCTGTTGTTTAATGAGGACAGGTGACTCAGGGTTGGCTTTTGGCTTTTATTCTGAACTTACTTCCAGCTGGAGTAAATGACTAAAGACAGTGCAGGCATCTATATCGCTTACTGCTCTCTTTGGCTTCAGTCGAATGACTCATTCCAAGTGTTCGGTACATGGCTGTTGGCCGCTGCCTGTCTGCACTGCAGGAAGGATGTGTGCAGGTAGACCATCCCATGCGGCCCGGTGTGTAGCAAGCGGCCAGGATGGATTGATGGTGTGTTTTTTTTGCTGAATGCAGCATTGCCTCTCTGTGTCTCCCCTGCAGCTCCCCCCACCTTCACGGAAACGCCCCCCCAGTACATAGAAGCGAAGGAGGGCAGCAGCGTCACCCTGACCTGCATGGCTTTCGGGAACCCCAAACCTATTGTCACCTGGCTGAGAGAAGGGGACCTCGTAGGTGCCAGTGGGAAATACCAGGTAAGTGCTTGGCCTGGTCAGCTGCTGTAAATACTTAACCCTGACCCCTGTGGCGGGAGAGCCTGGTGTGTCACCACTGCAGTGAGTTGCTGGGTCTCAGCCTCGATGTAGAGGAAGCTCCTTCATATATCCGATTTCTGGCTAGTATCAAACAATAGCCCATGGGACTGAGATAGCAGCTGCCCCTGCTCTCGCCAGAGGTCCTCTCAAGGTCGGATTGGGCACCAGGTGTACAGAAGACCACAGGAGGTGGCACAATCAGGGTTTCTTAAGGAGGGGTATGGATGTTGCTGAAGCAGCTGGTGTTTCTGGAGCTTTTCCTGCTGCCTCAGCACTCCCCCTCCCTCCACAGTCTGTTTCCTGGCTGCCTTTTGAGATTCAGTTTCTCCTGTCTGTGAACTGCAGGTAGCATCAACAGGCCTTGACCTTCCTCCTTCCGGCCTGCCATGGCCATGAAGGTTGGGGAGCAGCGCTTGTGCCTGGAGCTTGCTAGGCCTGGTTTCCATACGGGCAACTGCTTTTCTGATCTTGTTTTCTCACCCCCCACTCCCATCTCTGTTCTATTCCATCTTCCTTCCGGCTACACTTAACCCACATGAAGGTGCCAGGCCCCCAGAGAGAGCTTCCCGTGCCTCTCAGAGAAGGTTTTCTCTGCTGATGAGATGCCTTCCTGAATGCAGCCTGTGGGAGCTGCTCAGGTTTCCTTCCCCCAGGATGGGATCACGGGAGGTTCTGAGAAGCGGCTTTGGAAGTCCTCAGTTACTAGAAACTCCCAGCCTGATTCTTCACTTGCTTTCCCCTGATGTGAACGAGGAGTAACTCCCTGGAATTGCAGCCTGGTATGGGAGGGAGGAGAGCCAAGCCCTTCGCCCTTACTTTATCTGGAATGGAGGAGCTGGCTGGGACCAGGCAAATGCTTGATCCAGCCATCTATTTGTGCATCTCCACACGTCCATCTGTTCAGTTTGCTCAGTCTCCCTCCTCCCCTTTTTGTCTTCCAGTTCTCTATAAAATGTGGGTTTAAAATCCAGAGTGTTTTGAAATGTAGAGTAACAGTCAGTGAGTCCTCCGCTTGCCTCCCCTTGCTCATCCGCCCCATGCTGGGGGCACTATTCCTGCCCCGCAGTCTTGACTATGTTGTTGCTTCATCTTGTCCCCTCTGGACCCATCGGTGCTGCTCGGTGGCTTTTCCTTCCTGGGCTTGTAGTGGTTCTTACCTACATGTAGGGATGCAAGGGCCTTGCAGGCAGGAGCTCCGGGTCCCATCTGAACCTGCACCGAGGGAAGGGATGGGCCATCCTGAACTGCAGCTGTGGATGCCACAGCCTCGGTCTGAAACCCAGGCGCTGAGGCACTGCTAGGCCTATCCCAGCCCTGGACGCTGTTGCCGTGTATGAGAGGCACAGGCCAAGCCCATTGGGTTCAGAGGGAGCAGATCTGGCTCATAGAGTCTGGATTTGACATGAGTTTTCTTGCTCTCATTGCCAGTGCTGGAAATCTCTCTGATAGGGAGGGATGTGTGTGTGTGTGGGGGGTGTTGTGGGGAGGGGAGTGCCGGCAGGCAAACGTGGGGGGCATTCACTTGGGGAGTGCTGCACTGGGGTTCCCGTGACTGAACAGGGTCAACTAGGAAGATTTGTTCCCTCCTGTGTCAGTCCCAGCCCCTAAGAGATCCTCCGGGTGCCTTTGAGCCTCAGTCCAGCCAGGGATTCCATACAGCTGTAATTGGCAAATCAAGCATTGGAATCGGCGCAGGCACTAATGAGAGTCATTAGGAATAATTTGTTACTAATTGAAATAGAAGGATGAGGCAGAGTGAGTGTCGGGGAGGGGGGGCAGATGGAAGTGGGGTGAGGCTCTGGCTGTGGGGGAGGGGGTGCATTACCTCTGGGTTGCTTCCCTCCCATCCTTCTGCATAGCGGAAGCTGTATCCTTTCTCTGCCGCTTGCCCAGTGCCTGGAGGGAGGAGCTGTGCCCTTCCCCCCACCTCTCCAGCCCTTGCTGCCATCAGAGGCAGGAGCCCAGCCATGCTAAGCAGAGGATGGGGAAATTGAGCAGGTTTGATAATGGCTCAGTACAACACTGTCGATTGCACCACAGCCCCTGTGGGACAGGTTTCTGCTAATGTGCCTGCCTAGAGGAAGAAGGGAGGGGGGAAGTTGAAATGGGGATGCTAGGGGATGACCATTACACATCTCCTCCCCTGCTGAGCGCTGGCAGTTCCTCGCTAGGCAATCTCTCACCTGCCAGCAATAATGGACGTGAATCGCTGGAGGGCTTGAGCAGCCCCCACTCCTGCCATGGAGGGGAGGAGGAGGAGGAAAGGCAGGGAAGGAAGCTGCTGCGCAAACCGGGGAGCATGCAGTTGGTGGTAGTGAGCGCCAAGCCGCAGCCGCAGATGATGATGATGATGTCTTGGTCTCGTGTCTCGGCCCTGCAAGGGAAGGAGGCTGGGACTGGCTCACAGCAACTTGAGTCCCTGTGTAAAAGTAAGGCATGGACTTGTTGGGCCAGATTCTCTGCAATGGAGTCGGTGGAGTTACACCTGCGGAGAACTTGGCCCCTTAAGGACTAGTGAAAGGTACCACACTGTTAATCCACAGCACGGGCAGGGCTATGCATGCTCCTCCTCATCACCCGCCTGCCAATGCACCCAAGCCTTGCCTTAAGGAGATCACCTCTGGGAATGAGAGACCGGCATGGTCCCCTGGTTGGGGAAAAGGGGCTGGGAGTCGGGCTGTGTTCCCAGTTCAGTCTGCATCACTGTGTGACCTTGAGCGAGTCACTGGCCCTCAGTTTCCCTAGCAGTGACAAGGGGGTAATGAGAGTAGCCCCCCTTTGTGAAGAGCTTTCCGGGTATCTGGATGGAAAGGCCGACAGAAGTGTTCTAGCTGACGTCATCCCTTGGCCAGGGGCAGCAGGGCAGCGGCAGGCCTCTAACTCGTCACTGTGACGGCGTGACGTTGGTTTGGCGGCTGGGAAGGGCTCAGTACCATGGGGTCAGAAAACCTGCTCTGAACATGTGCAAGGCAATGGTGAGATCAGCTCTTCTAATGGCCTGGGGAGAGGGGAGCCTGCCATGCAGATACCTTTGGTCCCTCCCTACTGCTTTATCAATGGACATTAGCCCAGTCCTTATTCAGTCCTGGCCTCCCGCAACCTCTCCTCACCCGTGCATTGCTGCAGGCAGGGAAATTCAAAAGAGAAAATTCTGAACAGCCAACAGAGTGTGTGTGCAGGGGCATGCACGCCAGCCTGGGGATGGGTGACCGTGTGGATTAGTGCACCGTTGGGAGGCTCTAGGATGGGGGTGTGAGGTGGGTGCTGGGCGTTAGCATGAGTGCTCATGTGTGCTGAAGCGTCTCCCTTGTTCTTGGTCCAGGTGAGCGATGGGAGTCTGACTGTCGTGTCGGTCAGTCGGGAAGACAGAGGCGCTTACACCTGCCGGGCTTACAGCATCCAAGGGGAGGCTGTGCACACCACTCGCCTGCTCGTACAAGGTAATTCCTCTCATGGGAAGCTCCTTGTGGGATTCCTAGCCCTGTGCTTCAACCACGCTTAGCCTTGCAATGAGGGCATCTCCAGAAAGGTGGGCAGAGAACGGCGCGCCCTCAGAATTGGCACTCGAGAGCCTTGTCAGTTACTGACTGGCTACAGGAATGATGGGAGTTTAAACCAGCCAGTCACATGCTGCCAGGGAAAGCCCATCCATCAGCATTGCTCGTATATGCTGTGGGGAAAAATGATTGCGTTCAGCTGTCTGTTGCTGATACAGATAGAGATTCTGGTGGCAGCACACAACGTTTTTTTTTTCTTTTTTTTTCTTAGAGGCTGAAGACGAATATAGCAGCCAGTAGGAGAGCAGAGTTTTGTTCTTGGCTTTGCGTCAGTCTTCTAGGGGTATTCCATGTGATCCAATGTACAGCGGCATGAGCTAGTGGTTAGAGCAGGGGATTGGGAGTCAGGACTGCTGGGTTTATTCCAGGTTCTGTTGCTGACTCACTAACAAGTGCGAATCGCTCTCTCAGCTTCGCTATCTATGAAACGGGGAGTTTTTGCCTCACATTGGGGTTGTGAAGCTTAATGAGTTAATGTTTGTAAAGCGCTTAGAGCTCCTAAGTTTAAAGCTCCATGGAAATGCCAAATGTTTTGAGTTCTACTGGGGAAAAGTGCTATAGAAGAGCTTAGGTGGTATTATTATTTATTTTATTTATTATCATCGTCCTATGTAGTCCAGTACATTATTAAACATTTGTATTCCTCAGACAGCTTGGGCCTCATTGCGCTAGGTGCGGTACATACATATGATGAATGATAGCCCCTTCTCTGCTGTCTAGGCCTGTATAAAATAAGACATGTGTTGTACAGCCTGGTGTATTCAGTGAGTAGCATATGCACCATCTCCCGCTAAAGGGCTGTGAGGGGAGTATGCAGCTCTGGTGTAGGGACTGACCTGGCCCGTTCTCCGGCCTGTGCAGCCTCTTGCAAGAGAGACGTGGCCTCCTCCCAGCCATCCATTAAACATGCCATCAATAAATAAACAAGGAAATTAAGCCTAAACCCGAGATGTTTAAATAACATTACAGGCTGCCAGCTCAACTGACCAAAGCCAGGAATGCAAAGTGAGGGCTGATGCGGCATCCTACAATATACACAAGAGTCTAGTGGTAGCAGGACCTGGCCTGGGCCTTGAGGGACATATCTCATGCTGATTTGTCTTCCCTCCCTTTGCTCAGCAGACGTCCTCCGAACTATACTGTGCTTAGAGAGGGCTGTTCCGTGGTACAACGTGACATTGCATCCCCGCCCCCAAACTCGTTTTGGGAGGTGGTGTGTTGAAATGCATAAGGTGCCAGGCTGAACACCAGGAGACTGTGGTTCTGGTTCTATCACTGACACCCTGTGTGATCTTGGGGAAAGTCACAGTCCCTCCCCGTGCCTCAGTTTCCCTGCTTATTAAATGGGGATAACAATACTTGCCTGCTTTTCTAAACTGCTTTCAGGCCTGTGGCTGAGAAATACTATGTGGTGGAGGAGGTGATGATAGGAATGTCCTAAGAACCGTAGTCAACACGATACAAAACTGACTCTACCAGGTTTGATGGTGTCTAAGTCAGGACTGTCCCACAAATACTCGTTTTGGTGGCAACCCGCAACCTGTCCAGAAATTGCACGACACACCTGCAGCTCTTCATCATCCTGTCATTTGGTTTTATTTATGGGGGGAGTTATTTTTTTTTGAGGGGAAGTGTGAAATAGCTCTAATTGTACCCTAAAGCATCTAAAACCCCATTGTTTATGGGGAAGCAGGCAGTGTCCCCCACTTTCCCTTTAAAACTTCGTGTAACATGCAGAGCCTTATATTAGGGCAGTCAGGCTTCCAAGTGTTGACAGTGGCTTCATGCTGCCGTCTGGATTAGTTCTGCTGATACTGTGGTCTATGGAGCACTTGCTGGGGGTCTGTGCCGAGCTAGCTGGGTCACGTGCTGGCTTCTCATTCGCAGCTGTTAAAATTGCATTAGAAGAAGCTAAAGATACATAGATACTTTGTTTCCAGAAGCAATTGCCACAGGGATGCCACGTGATCGCCAGGGAGGGAGATGAGCCACTCCCACGTAAAGTCACGGCTCAGACATCCACTAGACAATCTCTCTTAAGCTGTGATCCACAGGATGAAAACCTTTGCGAGCCCCTGTTTCAGTCTGCGAATCCCTGGTCTGTGGGGGATGTGGCATTGTGGGACTCCACAGTAATTGTTTCTCTGATGGGTCCACCCCCCTTTTTATTAATAACAGAGTCGGGCTGTCACCCCAGAGGAGCCCAGAGCCCCTTTCAGACTTTGTGGGTGTGAACGCGTGCGCATGCGGGGCATACATCTGCTGTGTTAGCACCTAATGGTTCTGCACCCCATTTATACTACAGCAAAATCTGCTTAATTGGGGCACCCCAGTGGAGGGCCTGTCTCTTTGATTAAGCAGCTGTCCTGATTAACAGAGAGGCTCTGATGATTATTTTTTTTAAAGAAGTGTGGGAAGACTTGCAAAACACCAGAAAATGCTGTGCAGAATAAAAATGACACCTGCTGGGTCTCGTCCTCGTTGCAGGCCTGCTTCCTCTCTCTGTATAAATCTTTTATTTGGTCAATTTCTGCCGCAAGATAAGGGAGCTTAGCATTTCACACCTATTGAAGCACTTAATAATGCTCTGTACTTGTACGCTGTTTCCCATCTTCAAAGCGCTTTGTAGACATTAGCGAACTAATTCACATAGCGTTCCTGGTAGGTTGCGGCTGCCCTCCTGGTTTTTTTACCCCTGGGCCATGTCTACGCTGGGCAAATGCCTCCTGTTAGGAAATGTGTTCGCTGTCAGAGACAGGGACAAGCTGTATATCTGGTTATGTTTTGTTTTCTTCTACCATAGACGGGGTGGAGGAAGGAATCTGAGATGAAGTGACTTGCCCAAGATCAACTAGGAAGCCAGTGGCAAAGCTGGAAATGAACTTAGGAAACTTAACTCCCAGTCCTCCTTGCTTTAACCACTAGACAGCATGTGCTACCATAGCTGCGAATAAAACCCAGGAGCCCTGATTCCTGGACCTCGCTACTGAGTAACCATCTCTCATCACAGGTGGTGTTAAAAACCACTGTGCTGGTTCCTGGAAAGAGGGTGAAGGAGAGGAGGTAGCTTGGGGGTGAGCTCAGTGAATGGAGAGGTTAACAGAGGGTGCAGTGCGTGTTGTGTTAGTGTGGTTGGCCTGATGACAGCAGCAGGATGGGTGCCAGCCTGGATGACATTGGCAGAGCGTGCTTTGTTAAGCTGTCTGTATTCCCTGCTGCCTCCCCCCGCATCCCCTCTCCACTTCCGTTCCTTCCCCTCTTCCCTGCCTAGGGGGATCTCAGAGACTGAATATTGAGCGTCTGTTTCATGCGCTGAGCTCTCCCTGCGGAACTGATTAAAACTGCCCTTTTGGGGGGGTGGGGTTAGGGGGAGACACCGTAGACTAGCTAGCTGGAAGCTCTGTCCTCTCATCTAGACCAAGGTCAGAGCTTCTGCTGCTCTGGAGTCTAACCCTGTTCCGGTCCCCACTACCCCCCTTTTTTGCTGCATCTGCATGATCCTCTTACAGCCCTCCCTGCGTGCCTTAAAGGGACAGAGCCCTCTCCTAGGGTAGTGCTGGGCACCCATTAATCCCTCTCTCCCAGAGGGCCTTGGCTCATCAGAATTGCCCCAGTGCGAAGAGCTTTATCCCTAATCTAGTTATGTTTTGGCAGAGGCTCTGGGTTGAAGGCCCGTCTTGTGGGAGCCAGGCCAGTTGAATACATAGCGGTACTTGCAGGTGTCTGGACCCTGTGTGCTAGGGAGAGAGATGCTGCCTTTTCCCTGAGAGGCTGTTTATGGCCGGAGCTTTTTGGCGGCTGAGGTAACTGGTTTTCTCGTGCTCTCCCTCAGGACCCCCCTTCATCGTTTCCCCTCCAGAGAACATCACCGTCAACATCTCCCAGGATGCCCTGTTCACCTGCCAGGCCGAGGCGTATCCGGGGAACATGACCTACACCTGGTACTGGGAGGAGGAGAATGTCTACTTCAAGAAGTAAGCTGGGCTCTCGGCCTCTCGGTCTGTGCTGGGAGGAGCGCCTCTCGTCGCAGAGCCGTTCTCTCTGTCTCTCAGTAAAGGAAGGGGTCTGCTGTTCCAGAGATCCCCGCATCTCCCCCAGGGAATCAGGATACCCTCCCAGGAATGCGCCTCTGCCCCCATCCTGGGCCAATGCACCCGTCCAGGCATTGCTCTGCTGCCCTTGGGGTTGCCCTGACAGCTCCCTGCGGCCGGCTCTGAGAGCCGCTCCCTTCTCTGTATGAGGGGAACTCGGTACTGACTCCTCATTCCAGTTCTCTCCCCGCCCTTTTGCCCACCTTTTCCCTTCTGTTCTCTCACCCCCTGCAGTGACCTGAAACTGAGGGTCCGGATCCTGATTGACGGGACGCTGATCATCTTCCGTGTCAAATCAGACGATGCTGGGAAATACACTTGCATTCCTAGCAACAGCCTTGGCCGCTCACCGTCAGCCTCTGCCTACCTGACAGTGCAGTGTGAGTGGAGATGGTGGGGCAGGGAGGCCTGAGGGATCTACAGGCGAAACCTGCCATGCAGAAGCGGCGCCAGGGTTTTTGCCGCCCTAGGTGGCCGCGCTCCTCCTCTGAGTATTTGGCGGCGGGGGTCCTTCCGCTCCGCGTCTTCGGAGCACTTCGGCAGCGGGTCCCGGAGCGAGTGAAGGACCCGCTGCCAAAGACCCAGAGTGGAAGGACCCCCCGCCGCCGAATTTCCGCCGAGGGCAGCTAAATGCCGCCCCCCAAATCCTGCCGCCGTAGGGTCGCCTAGTGGAAGCGCCGGCCCTGCTGGCATGGGAAGAAGATGATTTAGATAATGTCATTGTCGCAATCCTGCCTAGAGGCATTCCTTGTGCTATCCCAGTGTAACTTTTAGGGTTCCAGTGACATGACAGCAACATACGGGGTGAGGTGGAGGGGAATAAAATCACACTAGATTATTGGGTCTGATAAGGCTGGCTGGCTGGCGGAGTGTGTGGGTTCATTACTTTGTTTAATGCAACGGTACCTGGCATTTGCCATAATGAATCAGACATTTGCTGCATCAAGGACAGCATGCTGTCAGTAGCTGATATTTCAGAGGAAGATGAATACCCTGTTCCCAGCTAACAGCTTGATGCCGTGCAGCATGGGTAGGATTCCTTCCTTGCCCAGGTACCCATCACCTGTATTGGCACCCACAATGTGTAAGAGATTTTCCAAACACCCTGCCCCTGCCTGACCTGAAGCATAACGTTTGACCCATCTTTATTCCAGAGTTTTTCCACCATAACCCAAGGCAAGGAAATGCTAGCATACGCTCACCTACAAAATACCCCAAACCATCCATGCAGCGTCCTCGGACCCTGATTCACCACTGCCTTGCATCTTGTCCCGGCACTTACCCCACTGCAAAGTGGGGATAAAATACTACTAGATCAGAAAGTTAGAGATTGCACCCACTGTGTGCTGGCATAAATGACTGCCCCTTGTGCAGTCTAGCTGTGATCCGGGACGTTGCTATATGGGGGAAGAGAGTGTGTAGAACCACTGTGACTGTCTGTCCTGGGCAATGCTATGTAGATCTAATTTACTGGGGTCAGATATGACGGTGAAGGGCATTACTGAAATGCCTAAGGCGGCTGGATGGGATTGCGCTCCTTTTTAACGTGTCTAGGTGCAAAGATTACTATTAGATCCAAACTCTCCAGCCTTTCAAATGCCAGCCAGAGTATCGGACTCGACTGCTGATGGCTGTGAACGCTAATAATAGTGTGTCTTGATTATCAGTTGTATTCCGTCTACTTCTGTGTGGGAAGTAGGGCCGTGACACATCATATCAAGTGTGTGGTTATATTTTTATGCATAATTATAAAAACCTGTTAATGCTGCCTTGTCTTCCGGGTGTGTTGGCATCCTGGAAACATTAAATACAAAGCAGTAACTGATCTAAATAAATTGGAGACAGACGGACTCTGAAAGGAATGTTTCTCCCAGTGTCTTCACATTTAACATACCTCCCCTCCTACAGTGTTCTGTGGTAAGGGGCCAAATGACTGTTGCTTACAAGAGTCATGTTGGAGGCCGTGTGGCCTAGTGGATGGAGCATTGGCCTGGCACTCAGGTGACCTGGGTGGTATTCACAGTTTGGCCCTAGCATGCTGGGTGTCCTTGGGCAAGTCAGTTTATCTCTCTGTGCCTCAGTTTCCTTGTCAGTAAAATGGGGCTAGTGATACTGACTTCCTGTGTGAACTGTTTTCAGATGCTCTGATGAAAAGTGCTACAGAAGAGCTAGGTTCTGTTGTTGTGTTGATTTGGCCTGTTACTATAGGAGACTGTGTAGCATTTGATTTTGTAAGGGGAGGCAAAAGTCTGAAGAAACCAGTGGGCCTTAGGCTTTCTCTTGAAGGCCAATAGACTCAGGCTATGGCTAGATCATTAATAAATGTACCTTAAGGAGCTGGGAGACCTAAGAAGCCAGTTCCTTCTCTTATATGAACTCACAGAGAAGCAAAGTCCAGAGCCAGGGAACTGTCCCCAGGAAGTGCCCTATTCAAAAGGATGCAAGTTTAAGGACTTCTTATAGAGGCATCTGGGCGGACCTCAGATCCAAACCTCACTGCAAGGCTCATAACCATCAGAAACCACCCTGGAGAGCAGGCATACAAAGATGGGGTTTGCACACATTTTTCTTTCACCTGAGTCCTGGAGGTGCGGAGAGGGCTTCTTATATTTTGTCATTTAAAGCTACAAGGCGTGCTCGGTGTCCCTTCGCAATAATCAAGTTCCTTGGTTGGAATAAACACCTCTGCTTTTATCTTGTTCTGGGATCTTTGCTAATGCTCTGTGAGCTAGAGTGCCTCGTTTTCACACTGGTCAACTTTCTTCCATTAAAAGAGAACTACTTTTTGGAAGTAAATTTAGCACTGGTGAAAGGTGCCAGATTGGCAGCCTTGGCGAATGCAGTCCTCTCTCCCGCCTTACCTAGCAGTGCTGGGGCAGTGTCAGCACAAACTTCCCATATGCTGTTGAGTCAGGGAGCTTCATCTCTCATCTGGAAGGATCAGCTTTAAGATTGGTGGGAAGAGTAGGTGGGGAATTTGGTCTCCAGGGCCCATTAAGTCCTTGGCCTCTCTGCTAAGATTCCTCAACAAGAGGAGTGGGTGGGCAATTATTGTGGTGGTCACTTCTCTGTTAGATTCTGGGCTGAAACCACAAACTTGTTTCACATAAGCCACCATTGCAGCTGTCAGATGGTAACAGCTTTTGGTAGTTACTGAACCAGGCTGGATTTCAGCCAGTGACCTAGAAGTGAAAGGCTCTGTAGGCCATTACTGATCCCTTGAGCTATCCAGTCTCGTTGATTACATTTCTTAAGACATGATGTTAAACTAAGGGGGAATAAAGCAAGTTGCATACGATAAACTACTTTCCAATCTGGGTTACGATGCCACTACCACAATCACGTGACCTTGGTAACTCCTGGCTGGATATTAGCAGTTTGGAGAGAGTGATTAGGGTTAAAAATGTCAGTGAGCCTGTGGAATAAAAACACCTTCAGCAGTCCCATATTCCCCTGCTCCACATATGTGCACCCAGATTCCTGCAAATATCAGTGCTGAATGGCCCCAGGACACAGCCAAAAAACAATAATGTAAGATTCTTGTATGGGTTTTAATAATTCAGTTTCCAGCCTTTAATATCGCTACAGTTTTCTTGGTTTTTTTGTTTTTCCCCTCTGGCCGGCCATCAAATCTGGAGATGGGGAAGGAAGGAAACAAACAACCCCCACCCCAAAACCCAACTAACAAGGATTAATTCTTTCCTGTTGACTGGTTCATGTTCCCATCAGTCTTAGAATGAAACCTTCCTTCCTGACAATGGCAGGGTCGTCCCATCACTCTGTACTTGTCTTGGGGAATTACTGACACCTTCTAACATTTTTCCTCTCTATATAATGTTTGGGGAACTGGAAATTAAGCAGGTGATTGGATAGCAAAAGGAGAAGTGGGGGGGGGAAATAACTTCATATGCAGATACGGTGGATGGGAGTTATATGTATAAGTAGCACCTGAGGATTGTAATTTGACATTGGGGAATGGCATGTGTGCCCTTTGCTATATCATCTTTTCAACAGGAACACCTTTTCCTTCCAGGTGCTTTCAGTTTAGAAGCTCTCCGATCTTCCCCCTCTCTTTACCCCCTCAAATAGGGGCTTCCTGTCTGCTCGTTTTCTCTTCCTTCCCCAGTGGTTCACAACAATGGGCTCTCTTTACTCTCTCTTTCAACCCTTGTGTATTTCCTTCACTAGCTATTTTCAAGTAGCATGTATTTTGTGGATCTGTGGAATGAATGGTGTAAATACCTATCCCTTCAGTATGGTGGGCAGAGATGGGGGGTCTGACAACCTGCGGCTCCCAGCTTGGCTCACCACCTCTGTTAAAACACTGGAGTCACTAGTTAGCTGTTGGCTTTGAATTAATTGTTGCTGTGATTTGATACGAAGAAGCAAAACAGGGCATAACCCTGGGTTGTCTTTGCTTTGTTTTGTTTCCTTTGCATGCCACCTCTAGCTGGATTATCCACGTTGCTACTACGTCCTGTGTGTGTTTAGCTCCCTGTGTGCTCAGGGGAGTACCCTAATGCTAGGGCTTACTCCGCTTCCTCGATCAAACAGTGTACTGAGTTGCAGAGCCTGGGTGGTTGAGGTTGAGTGAGAAGGAGCTTAGATTTTTGCGGGAGAGGGAGTGTTTTAATGGTGCCGTGCAGACACTTGTAATTATGTTGCACGTGTATTTTTCTTTGAACGGTAATTGTACATGGGCCTGCAGCTTAGGGTAGGGAGGTCGAAGTGAAATGCTTTGAGTACGTAAAGCTTGATAGACATTCTAAATATTTTTAATGGATTCGAAGAGGCTAATGGGACTATAAGGATAATGGCCTTCCAGGGCCAGGGGGTAATGGATGCGGCAGAGTTAGCATTTAGGCTTTGCACTCCATTATAACGATGACGTTGACCCTTCCAAACCAGGGTACAGTGACCAGAGCATATAGCGGGGTGGCCAAAATTACTGACCCTATGAAGCTGAAGCCCCGAGACCTCCCTCTCTGCTGGGTAGAAGCCAGAGATGACATGGTGGGGGGGCACATGCCGCCCCAGATTTTTGCCAAGGTTTGCTGGCCCTGCTTGGTCACGTGGTGCCACTGGGTACTCTCCCTGCATGGGAGCTGCTGGGAGCCACGGCCATGGGGAGAAGCAGTGGCCGACAGCTGGGAGCTGCAGGGGGAGCCTCTGCTTTTGCTGCTGCGTCTCCCTGCAGCGATAAAGCAGCAGCCCCTCCCAGCTGTTCGCTGCTGCCTCTCCGCGGGGAGCTAGCACCTGGGAGTTGCAGGGAGGGGCCGTTAAGGGTAAGAAGGGGGCATGACTCAAGCTGTTGGGGTGGGCTGAACCTTTAAATTGTGTGCCCCACCACTCTCAGCAGGCACTAGTAGTGTCTGGCAGAAGCCCCTAGCCCCACCACCCTGCCACAGGGCAGAAGCCCTGAGCTCCGCCCCCCAGTCTGGTAGGCGGAGAATGGGGAGACCGTGGGGGCTCTGCAAGCTGCACTTTAACTGTAAAAGAGCTGCATGCAGCTAGTGAGCAGCGGTTAGGCCACCCCGGCATATAGTTTTGTTCATGTGGAGGGAAAAGAAGGCTAAGATGATTCAAAATAACTTCCTACTACTCCCCCCAGATCCCGCCCGTGTGGTGAACATGCCACCCATCCTATATGTTCCCATTGGGATACATGGCTACATCCGCTGTCCGGTGGAGGCAGAACCGCCGGTCACCTTCGTCAAGTGGAACAAAGATGGACGCCCCCTGCGAGTCGAAAAGGTAAAGTTGTGTCTGGGCAAAGACAAACGGCTATTTTGGAAAGAAAAGTGGGGGACGCTTCGAACGTGGTGGGGAAGTGTCAAATGGTGACGCCATAGGGTGCTACGGGGAAGGGTCTGGCAGCATGCAGCCGTTGGTCCGGAGTTAACGGGCGGGCAGGCATGTCACTGGGAGCTGTGAGGGAAGGTTCAGCCACCGTAGTGGGGCAGACAAGTCCCCAGTTCGGTCTTCGCTCACCAACCTGACCGGTCCCCTAGAGGACAGGCAAATTTATAACTGCCTGTCTGCCCATGAAATACTCCCTCCACTGCTGCCAGCCTCCCCTTGAAACCCCCCCACCATGCATACATGGGGTCAGCCATTCTCTGTGTCTCCTTTCCCTTTCTCCTCCCCCAAGCTGCTGCTATGGTTGCCTCTGCTGTGCTTCAGGGGCCGGAGACCAGAGACCGTTTCCTCCACCTGCCCCTGTAGGGGGCTTTGAGGGCTGCCCGTGGCGGCACTGAGCTACCCCTCTCAGCAGCAGGCTCCCCATGTTGAGGGAGCACAGGAAGGAGGGAAGCAGCAGGGGATCTAGAGGACTGAGAGGGACACAGCCTGGGCTGGTCTTCAACCTTGTTCCCCTTCTCTCAGCTGTGTGTGGTGGTTGGTTGGCAGACAAGGAGCTGGTCAGGCCAGGGACCCAGTGGGAGAGGTTGTGGCAGTTGGTTCAGAGTGGGCCAGTCAGGTGGGGATGCTGGTGGGATCTGGGGCCCAGGTGCCAAAAGCGTGTGGCAGTGGAAGTCTGTTAGTGGGAGGAGCTGCCTGTTCGTTCTTGCCCCAGGTGGTCCTGAGATAGGGACCGTCATACAAACGTGCTTAGAGTACGACTGTGTTGCGCAAAAAAACAACAAAAAACATGGCAGCGAGTCTCAGGGCCTGGGTCAACTGGCTCAGGTTCGCGGGGGGTTATGCTATGGAGCTAAAAATAAGTGTAAATATTTTTGCTTGGGCTCTGTAACGTGTGGAGGGGGTGATGTCTCGGATCCTGAGGTCCAGCCTGAGCGGGAGCATCTATACTGCTATTTTTACCCCTGTAGGTTAGCCTAACTCATTTAACCCAGGCTCTGGGGTTTGCTGCTTCTGCAGGTGTTTTTTGCAGTGTAGACGTACTCTTTGTGTGTCCTTAATGTTATGGATTCTTGCGGTGGAAAACTTTCTCTTGAGTTGGAAATGGCCAGATTGCCTATTCCCCTTGTTTGTGGTGATTGTAAAATAAAGTTGAGAATGAAGGGCTCAATCCAGAAAAGCGCTTAAGAATCCTAGAATATCAGGGTTGGAAGGGACCTCAGGAGGTCATCCTGTCCAACCCCCTGCTCAAAGCAGGACCAATTCCCAACTAAATAATCCCAGCCAGGGCTTTGTCAAGCCAGGCCTTAAAAACCTTTAAGGAAGGAGATTCCACCATCTCCCTAGGTAACCCATTCTAGTGCTTCACCACCCTCCTAGTGAAAAAGTTTTTCCTAATATCCAACCTAAACCTCCCCTACTGCAATTTGAGACCATTACTCCTTGTTCTGTCATCTGCTACCACTGAGATCAGTCTAGATCCATCCTTTTTGGAACCCCCTTTCAGGTAGTTGAAAGCAGCCATCAAATCCCCCCATATTCTTCTCTTCTGAAGATGAAATTCCAGTTCTCTCAACCTCTCCTCATAAGTCATGTGCTCCAGCCCCCTATTGCTCCAGCCCCCAATTTTTCCACATCCTTCTTGTAGTGTGGGGCCCAAAACTGGACACAGTACTCCAGATGAGGCCTCACCAATGCCGAATAGAGGGGAACAATCATGTCCCTCGATCTGCTGGCAGTGCTCCTACTTATACAGCCCAAATTGCCATTAGCCTTCTTGTTGACAAGGGCACAGTGTTGACTCATATCCAGCTTGTCGTCCACTGTAACCCCTAGGTCCTTTTCTGCAGAACTGCTGCCTAGCCACTCGGTCCCTAGTCTGTAGCAGTGCATGGGATTCTTCTGTCCTAAGTGCAGGACTCTGCATTTGTCCTTGTTGAACCTCATCAGATTTCTTTTGGTCCAATCCTCTAATTTGTCTAGGTCCCTCTGTATCCTATCCCTACCCTCCAGCGTATCTACCACTCCTCGCGGTTTAGTGTCATCTGCAAACTTGCTGAGGGTGCAGTCCACGCCATCCTCCAGATCATTAATGAAGATATTGAACAAAACCGACCTTTAGGGCACTCCGCTTGATAGCGGCTGCCAACTAGACATGGAGCCATTGATCGCTACCCATTGAGCCCGATGATCTAGCCAGCTTTCTGTCCACCTTATAGTCCATTCATCCATTTTTAACTTGCTGTCAAGAATACTGTGGGAGTATCAAAAGCTTTGCTAAAGTCAAGGTATATCACATCCACTGCTTTCCCCATATCCACAGAGCCAGTTAATGCATCGTAGAAGGCAATTAGGTTAGTCAGGCATGACTTGCCCTTGGTGAATCCATGCTGACTGTTCCTGATCACCTTCCTCTCCTCGAAGTGCTTCAAAATTGATTTCTTGAGGCCCTGCTCCATGATTTTTCCAGGGACTGAGATGAGGCTGACTGGTCTGTAGTTCCCCGGATCCTCCTCCTTCCCTTTTTTAAAGAAGGGCACTACATTAGCCTTTTTCCAGTCATCCGGGACCTCCCCCGATCGCCATGAGATTTCAAAGATAATGGCCAATGGCTCTGCAATTGCATCTGCCAACTCCTTTAACACCCTTGGATGCAGCACATCCGGCCCCTTGGACTTGTGCTCGTCCAGCTTTTCTAAATAGTCCTGAACCACTTCTTTCTCCAGAGAGGGCTGGTCACCTCCTCCCCTTACTGTGCTGCCCAGTGCAGTAGTCTGGGAGCTGATCTTGTTTGTGAAGACAGAGG